TCAGTTGCTGCATTTAAGCAGCATTGGCCCTGCCTCCTACCATCTCCACAGCCTTAGGCCAGGGTCACAATATTGCTCTGCGCTTCCATTAGCAAGCATGGTGCCTCTAATGTACAAAAACATGTTTTTTGCTTGTTGGTGCACTGTGATGACATTCATTTTTAATGATACCGCAGTGCATCTTGCCAGTGGACATGCATTGCAATACATATACACCACAACACATGGTAAAGCTTTACTGAGCGTTGAAGTGCACTACATTACCAAAAATAGTACTTGCACCTTTTTAGTACATTTTCATTTGTTAGGCAGCCTCTTCAAACGAATGTGCTGCCTTATGGTAATGCATGTTAACGTGGACATAATGCACATTAACACGCGTGCGCTAATGCATGGCAGTAGTGTGAATGGATCCTAAATGTTGTGATATCACCTTAACTGATAAATAGAAAGGCTCAGTAGTAGAAGGGGCCAACATCAAAGTTGACTTTTACATGGAAAATTTCAGCTGCTTATACCTCTGAATCTACTTCTGACAATATTTTCACTGGAGGCTATCTCTGCTTATACGTTTTTCTGTCATTTGTCAAAGTTTGTGTCAATATTATTTTAGGATAGTTCTGTGTGAATGTTATCAACTAATTTTTAAAGTGAGCTTGTGCCCAGATCACGCACACTAAAGTGATCACATATTCTGGAAAAGTAAAAACCCTCATTTATCTCTGTATCTATATGCATTGTAAAGAAATTATTTTCAAGCTCAACACAGGTACTGTATTTTCCTATGAGAATAGAATCTTGACATCCTGCTAATCCTCTAATATAAACTACCAGCGGGTTTTTCTAAAATGTTGGAAATGGACTAAGTGCCAGTTCACAATGCGGTGCGGGATTCGCAGCGAATTCAGTGTGTTTCCCACACCGCATCATGCAAACCACTGTGGGTGTTAAAAACACCCCAATAGGGTTCATAGAACGCAGAGTTATTGGGTGAATCGGATGTGAACACCCATGCAATCTGTTTCCAGTCCGAAAAAAAATTTCTGTGTACTGCATTATTTTTTGGACTAGTTTTTCAATTGCCTGTACCCCGAGTTCCCCAATAAACACCCGCCCTTCGGGTTTCATGTGATCTGCCTCCATGTACTCTCTCTCTGCGCTCCTAGTTTGCCACTACTGGTGTCCTCCCTCTGCGCAGGCCCTGCACAGGGAGTGTGGCCTTTGTCTCCAGCAGGCAGCTGGTTGTGGGAACGTGGAATCGCGCTGTGCCCATGAAGTGCCCATGAAGTCAGGAGAAGGGGTAGCACTCGGCAAAAGTAAGGTGACCTGCATGTGGTGAATCCACCTGCAAGCACAACAGGGGGCCAACTGCTTGCTGCTCGGCTGGGAGGGGGGACAGGACATGGCCTTGGCAGCGGGCAATCCTCTGGTGGCGGAGGGGTTTGAGGAGGCCTGGGGGGTAGCGGCCAGACAAGAGTGGGGACTGTGCCTGTGACACTCTGCTATGACATTCTGGCTGAATTCCAATCTAGGGCCATGCCTGTCCTGAATTTGACCAATCTCGTAATTTCAGGATGGAACTCTGAAAGAAATATGCCAGCAACCTCCAATACTGGCTTTTTGACAACCTCAGAAATAAACGAATTAGGAGGAAACTTCCTTCTGATTATGATGTCACCAAGAATGGATGCAAACCCTGCAATAAAAAACACTGCAAACTGTGCAACCAAATTAATCCATCAAAAAGTGTCACACACTCAAAAGGGATCTTCAGTATCACCGGATCATACAGCTGCACCTCTAGTAATGTTGTGTACCTTATTCAGTGCAGAAAATGTAGCAAAGGATCTTCCGTTGGCAAAACAGGACAGAAGTTACTAACAAGGATGAATTTGCACAGACATACCATCAAGGAACATAAAGAAGATGACTTCTGCAGACCTGTGGGACACCATTTCGCACAACCGGACCAAACTATGGAAGACCTCAATATCTTAGTTCTTAAAAGAAATTTCAAAATTATCCAGCTTGAGGTGATTGTAGCCATATTAGTGCACTTGCGAGAGAAACAATTGAGTACTGTCCGTTATACTTTTTTATTTGCGCTAACATACAATTTTCAGGACAAGACTATTCAGGAAAGGAAAACTTTTGAACTAAGAATGATATTTCTATTTGATACAAGAGATAACGGACTTAATTTGGACATAAGATTCCTCACTCATTGTCCAACAGTTTTACGTCCCCCTCTGTGACTGTTGTCCCAACCCCCCCCCCCCCCCGCCCTCACCACAGTCTTTGCTTTTGCTCTGTCTTATCTCTAGTCTAATCCTAGTTTTATAACTATTGTTGTGTACATTTGTTTGTCTGTATTATTTTCTGTTTTTTTTTTTTCCCCCCTCATTGTTTCTTTTAACATTTTGCTAAAACTTTGAAGTAACACTGCTTGAACCTTGAAGAAGGGGACATACCCCGAAAGCTTGTCCTGAAAATTGTATGTTGGTGCAAATAAAAAAAGGACCATAGACAGTACTCAGTTGTCTCTGTTGCAAGTGCACTAATAACGGCTAAAATCACATCAAGTAATTTGAGGTAAAAGTTGTTAACAAAGTTTTACCCTGTTTGAGATTGCAGAGTGTTGGATTCGCACTTTGACCCAATCAGGGTCAAACGGGGGAATGACCTTCTCTCTCATGTTTCTCACTGCGACAATCAATGCCGGTTATTAACTTCACTCCCACACGATGGGGCGATGGGGTCGAGACTGTGTCCTGACACTTTCCAGCATTTTTCAAACTTTTCCCTTGTCCCACCCACTTGTCTTTCATAAACAGGGCAATAAATTCCATCCCACAGTCATGTTACAACAAACAGCTCGTGTGGTATCATATGCGAAGTTAAAATGTAAAACATCTGCAAGAAGCCCTCATCCCTTTCTTTGCCTCTGAAGTCAGACTTATTGTTCCATAACCTGACATCCACACACACTTTGTTCATTTTTTAAATAATAAAACTAATTTTATAATAATTAATTTTTTTTTTTTATAAAGGAAGTCTGGGGCCCCCTCTGGCAGGGGGACCCGGGTCAATTGCCCCTTATGTCCCCTTATAAATCCAGCACTGACCACCATTGTAAGGGGGCACACTGAGCAGCAAGCAGGGCCACACTGACCAACACTGGTCACCAACTTAGGGGAGTAAATACATTGATCACAATATAAAGAGGCACAGACACTGACCACCAATGCAAGGGGGCAGACATTGACCAACAATGTAAAGGGGGCACAGACACTGACCACCAATGTAAGGGGGCACAGACACTGACCACCAATGTAAGGGGGCACAGACACTGACCACCAATGTAAAGGGGGCACAGACACTGACCACCAATGTAAGCTGGCACAGACACTGACCACCAATGTAAGGGGGCACAGACACTGACCAACAATGTAAAGGGGGCACAGACACTGACCACCAATGTAAGGGGGCACAGATACTGACCACCAATGTAAGGGGGCACAGATACTGACCACCAATGTAAGGGGGCACAGGCACTGACTACCAATGCAAGGGGGCACAGACACTGACTACCAATGTAAGGGTGCACAGACACTGACTACCAATGTAAGGGGGCACAGACACTGACCACCAATGTAGGGGGCACACACATTGACCACTAATGTAAGAGGGCACAGACACTGACCACCAATGGAAGGGGGCACACACATTGACCACTAATGTAGGTGGTACAACACTAACCACTAATATAAGGGGGACAGACACTGATCACTAATGTAACGCATACAGCCACTGACCACTAAAGTAAAGGCTATACAAGCACTGACCAACAGTGTAAGAGGTGCAACATTGACCACCAATGTAAAGGGGGTATAGACACTGACCATCAATGTAAGGAAGGGGGAGATACTGAGGGGGGAGAGCATGTGAGCTGTATTAGACTTTGTGCTGCTGCCTTTTATGTGCCAACATTTGTGTACATCGTCCCAGACTCTGGTTTCCTGTCCATGGTAAGTTCCAAGTTTTACTTTTTAGACTGGGATGCATAGATCTAAAGGGAGCTGTGATGGAAAAAAGGTTGTGAAACGCTGTTCTAAAGTCTTTGTTGAGATCTTTAAAGTGGTAGTAAACCGCTGGATGAAAAAAAAAATATGTGGGCGGTTTAAGCCATAAGTTCTGGTATGCACTGCATACTAGCGCATTATGACAGGCTTACCTTAAAATGAAGCCCTCCAGAGCGGTGTGCTATCACATTTAAATGAGTAGGTGCAGTCATGTCAGAATACTCTATTGCAGCGTTTACAGACAAAACACTTTTGATACATTAAGTGTATGTATATCCTAGCAATGCTCCTTTTTCTGTAAAGTGGTTGTAAACCCTCACATGTACCCAGTGAAGTGAGGGGCCTCAGAGATGAAATAAATCATCCTACATAAGTTGTACTTGTCTATCTGCAGTGTTCTCTACACCTGTTTAAAGACCAGAATTTTAAAGCTTGTCTGAGAGTTAAAAAAAAAAGTGGGCAGAGAGCTGAAATTACACTTTGTGTAGCTCAGTGAGGAGAACTCACCATGAGCTGATTGGAGAGAAGAGACACCCCTCCCCTTCATACAGCTCACAGGAACAGAGCTGAGGCTGTCAATCTGCAAAGGTACAGTACAGTGAGTGATTGTTGTCACTCTAGATAGAAAGTGTGGCAATGGCAGGATCGCCACTTGAAAATAAAGAGAAACAAAAGCCTGAAACAGAAAACAAATGCAGCTACCACATCTTAGGACTGGAAAGCTGCAGTATATTATATATTTCTTCTTGAGTTTACAAATGCTTTATTGTATAGCATTTTTAGTTTATATTGTTAGGTTGTATTCAGGCCATATAGGTCTTTGTATGCACTTGTCCTTGCTGGAAAAACATTGCATCACAAATATGCTGTGTTGATTTTCTATATATTCATAGAATATTAATGACACCTTTTGTTTAGGTACAGAATTTAACACTACGGAGTCCACCAATACTGGAAATATCGTGTCCACAAAGCAGTCCACCAAAAATCAGCAACCAAGACCAACCACTGGCTATGTGTCACAAGACTACTGTAACCAGTTCCAAAGCCGTACATGCTGATTCTAATGAGACAAGCCGTAAAGGTGAAAGCCCTGGTTCAGAGTCGCGCTGCACAGCGGTAACACGAACAGCAAGTTTGCATCAGCTGATAGCTCCAGGCATGTCTTCCTGTAAACTTCAACCTTCTAGAGCTGTTGTATAGTAGATACATGGGGGAAATTGCCTAATAGATATGCAAGAAATATATGTATTCTGAACATTCTAGACATGAAGAGAACAGACATTGGCCTTTATTGCCTGTAGCAACCTGATAGACAAAAAAGAGTGATGGCTCTTGTCTTACCTCAAGCTTTTGTTATTTAACAATGACATAAAGCCGCACAGGCATCTTTTGTCACTCCATAGGTTGTATTACATCCAACATAACAATCAACCATTTAAGGGATAGCATAACATTTTCAGTATAATCTGGCAGCAGCCTTGAGGAGCATTACATATAAAGTAGCTAGTCTCTGGCTTAAACATGCTCTGCAAATTTTTATTGTAAATCTTGGCTCTATTCAGAGCCCATGTTATTCTGGGCACAAAATAATTACTGTTTTGTACATGTTACACCCTCTTTGTCAGCTATTTTACTTGAATGTACTGATGTAATTAAACTGTAGTGGAGGTAGCCAGTATTTTCCGTATGGTGCAAGTATGCACAGCATAATTACATATTAGGACAGACTTATCCTAGGTGTGCTCCACTCCAGTGATGTAGGCCTGAGCTCTCTCCATCTACTCTGTTCCTGCAAGGGCCATGTTGTTTCCCTTTTCTTCCGAGTCCACCGTCTTCTTGCTTTGCCCATTGAGCAGAGACTGGTGGTGTAAATCCTACCTATGTGTGCTGGAGTTACCTTATTTTGGCACCTATCTCTGTTCCCGGCATCCCACAGATAATAGGACTTTACACTGTACTGTGCATGCACAACAATCAGATGCAGATTGAAAGCAATTGCTAGCAGGTAAGTAAAATAGCTTTTTGGCAGATGAGCTGTATAATCTAAAAGACCCAACTGGAACTGATCTCCTGTATTAAATAGAAATCTAAAAAAATGCAGCGCTGAAATTATAATTGTGGTAATGACCATCAAGTGCAAACAGAATGTTCATATGGATTGTTCATTCATAAAGCAAAAACTTAAAAGTCCTGTTGATAAAGTATTCCAATATTGCAGAGGTCAAAGTGGTGTAATATACTCCTGGCTACTCCGTGAGGTGATAGTACATCGCCTACCGCGCTTATATACATTTTACACATGGTTGGTTAAAAAAAAAACTCAGTGTAAATCCCTTTTTTTCTTTTCTCTTCTTTGGTGTTGTAATGAGATTGCAAAGCTCCTGATCATCCTGTGTCAGTGAGCAGTTGCTGCATAATATCAACAATGGATACTGCTTTAGAAGCTGCCAGGTGACATCACAGCTCGCTGAATTCAACCCCATTGTCAGACTCGCACAGCTACACAAGGGATCTGGAGCTGTGCCATGACATGAACACAACAAAGAAGGGTAGAAAAAAGAGTATTTGCATTGATATTTTTTACCAACAGTATACATATTGGGGAAGATTTACTAAAACTGGTGCACTCAGAATCTGGTGCAGCTATGCATGGTAGCCAAGCAGCTTCTAACTTCAGCTTGTTCAATTAAGCTTTGGCAATAAAACCTGAAATGTGATTGGTTTCTGTGCAGAGTTGCTCTCCAGTTTTAGTAACCCCCATTGTGGTAAAACAGTATACATGTAGGTGTTCAAGTTGTACATTGCATTTTTTCCCATTTAGTTTTTTTCCTTTCTTCCAAGGCTGCTGTGTTAAAATGTACATATTAGAAATTGTTCAAAAGCTAAAGCCCCGTACACACAGGCTGAATATCAGGCGGTATCGGCTGCTTCAAAAGGAACAGGACATTCGGACTAAGACATTTGTCAGACTTCTGTAGAAGGGGTATGACTGAAAAAGGTCTGCCAATCTGCTTTCAACCAGCGCTGTCAGCCAATAGCTGAGAGCACTGACCGGTGTGTCCTGGGTGGGGGGTAGTCCCCCTGTCAGAACACAATAGGGCAGGGGGGATATCGCTGTACTAACACAGCTTGTGTTAGTACAGTGATCTGTCAGGTTTTTTTTGTTCAGCCGGCTGTACTGAATGAAAAAAAAAAAAAAAAAAACTTACAGTGTGTATGAGACTTTAAAGCTTAAGAACATCTGCCATGTATCCTTGACCAAACATAATTGTGTGAATTTGTCTTGTGTTGATGTGTCAGTTGTCTCATGTCTTCTTACTGGAAGTCCTTACACATGCTTTCGTCATGTTTGTGTTGGCAACAGAAGCAGTCAAATCAGCAGGTATAGAAACCAAGAGCTTTTTGCTCTTTAGCTAGTAGTAATATGAGATTAGACCTTAGGTGTGGCAGAAGTGTATCCTAAGAATGTTTTGTTTGAAATTAGGAATGCTTAGTATGAGAATAATTAAAACATGTTTTTTCCAAACATTAAAGCTTAGAAAACACAATAAAGTGGTGAAATAACGTTTTGGTTTTTAATTAAAATGCTGGGAAAGTAAGCTCGGGTTCACACCAGATCGGACTTTGATGTCAGTGCAAGTTCAGGTGCGACTTGGAAGACATCTGTGCACAGGTGTCTATGCAAGTCACACCTGAAATTGCAAAAGGTAGTGCAGGAGCTACTTTCAAAATTGGTGCGACTCCGACAGAGTTCCGTTGTGAAACTGTCTAATCGCATGAACACACTGGTGTGAACCAGGGCTAAGGCTTGTCTGTTATCTCTTTATAACAGTGTTTTTATTGAGTGTTCTCTTATTTTTTGTTTTGTTTTGCAGTATCATATTCTTCAGTCCAGCCACATGCTCTAACTAAGCACCCCACAATCCAGCTACACCCAGATCCACCAAAGCTGCCGCATCATCAAATGATATTGCAACAGCAGCAGCAGATACAACATCGACATCAGATTCAGACCATTACATTACATAACCCAGCCTTAGAGTCTCCAACATCCCATCACTGTGTGCCAATGCAGAGCCCAGCATTTCTACCACTTCCCAGCAGTGCTCATTCACATCACAGTACCCCTATACCGACTCCTCCTCCTGCATCACCCACTCTCTCCCAGTCTGCCCAGCAATCTGTGGTAGTGTCTCCTCCACCAGCACAGTCCCCTTGTCAGTCACCCACTATCATTATTCACCCACAGGCACTTATTCAGCCACAACCACCACTTCTTGTACAGTCATCTCTTCCATCTAGAGAAAATCCACATCTAATACAGACCACACTGCATTCAGCATCACCAGTGGCTCTTCCAACCCATGCTTCATCTGTAGTAACACCAGGAAGCCAGCCTGGATCATCACATCTACAAACTGTCACAGCATCTGGGCAACCATTAATGTCACCCATAGCACCAACCAATCAGTCATCACTCCAAACTCTTCCTCCTTCATCAGTATCATCTCCTCATTTACCCACGTCTCATTCTTCCCAGCTGCAAGCCTTGCCACTGCAGTCTATGCAGGCAATATCTGTGCAGCCTGAGATGTTAACCCCAGGCCAGGTTCTGGTGCAGAATGCTTTGCTTACTGAAGAAGAACTTCCTGCAGCAGAAGCACTTGTTCAGCTGCCATTCCAGACACTTCCTCCACCTCAGACTGTTGCAGTAAACCTCCACATACCACCAGCACAAGTGGAGCAACCAGTGGTAAGCTTTCAGTGGGACTTTTAAAGTGGACATTTGGACAAATTAAAAAAAGTGCATGTTGCTGTCCCACTAGCATTAACACAGCAGTTTTTGTTTTTGCAAAGTTTTGATACCTGTTGATCCTGCCAAGAGATCAGTTATTTTTTCCACTTGCTATAACAGGATGACAACGGTGTTCATTCTGTTGTGAAATCACATAGCAAGAAAGCCACGCTGTGGACAGGGTGATCTTCGATGAATATGTGGTTTTAAATGGACTTTAAAGAGGGTCTTCAGTCAGTTAAAAAATAAATTAAAAAAAAGTTATCAGCTACAAATACAGTGGCTGCTGACTCTTAATAAAAGGATACTTACCTGTCCAGAGATCCAGTGCTCACCCAGGCCATTTCTTCACCAGCCTGCAGATCCCCAGTGCCTCCATCTTGGATATGGGAAGACTGCTGTGACTCCCTGTGGCTTTATAGCCAGCTTCTCACTGTGCGAGTTGTGTTGTGCTTTGTGAACGGACTCACAGCCTCCTGGGACCTGTGATGTGTCCCAGGAGGGTGCTGCCAGGGGGAGGCATGGAAAGGTGTCATGGGGGCTGCGAGAAATAGGTACCTTCTCCCTAAAAAAAAAAAAAAAAAAACTGACAAAAATGTTTGAGGAGGCAGGAAGGGTTAGTGAATTTGGAACTTCCCTTTTAGGGTGAATTTCCACTTCAATAAGCAACAAACAAATGAACCACTTAGCTACTGGAGCGATTTTCTAATTTTTCAGAAAACAATCTGCCCTTTTTGCTAGTAAGCTAATTAAAATCCTCCAAACAATTATATATTGTCTGAAAACAGAGGCCCTGTAGAATAAAATGGTGACAATGCAATTTTTATGTTGAAGTCTGATTTTCAGAAAAAAATACACTAAAGTTAATTTTAGTCCAAACACCATATCATACCCAAGCTGCCCAGTCAAAGTCCCATAAAGGTGATCGGGCAGCTCTACAGCTGCCTGTATAGCTTACATAAAAGCCTGGATCTGCTGCAGCCTTGAGCTTGAATTTGTGCCTATTTTAACCCCTTGTTTAACAGGACATTTATAAACATACCTTGCTAGACAAGTGGTTAAAGACTCGCTTTAGGCTGTTTGTGTATGGAAAAAATCCCAACTAATGTAAGCACCCCTGTATTGTTTTAAGGTTTATACCAACCCCTGTACCTGTCACTTTTGCTGAACAGCATGGTCCATGTGTAAATACGATGAAAACATAAATAATGTCATGTGAAAAAAATGACATATGAATGCAGTAGTATAATTTTGTATAATACCCTATACAGTGCCTGGAATACAATATTTTCAATATAGTGAGCATTTACCAACTTTGTGTAGTATGTCCAGGATCTCAAGTGGTTAAAACAAGCCCATGGCTGCAGCAGCAGCTTTGAGCTTGTGCCCCCTTTTTTTTTTTACAGCCAGCTCCCAGTTTTTATGTACAAGGAATCATTTTTATGTTACTCACACAATGGTTCTGGGCTCTCAGAAAATTACGTCAAGATGGTGAGCATCCGTTCCCTGATCTTCCCTGCAAAAGTGTAAATTAAAAGCACACAGCTCTGTGTACTATGAGTTTAAAATGTCAAAATGCTGACTGGAAAGCTGGGTAAACAGCTGATGGAGTCTATGCTCGTTGGCTGAAGCAAATGACATGGGATACATTTGGGGTCTAACAGACCCTGATGTCTTTATAAAGAAAACCTATCACCTGCCCAGTGCTATCAGATCACAGCAATAACATTAAGTAAAATAAAATTGTTAGAAAATAAAATATAATAGAGTATTTAAGATGACAAAAAAACATAAAAGCCCCACAGTCGTGTCATGTTCTTACATCCGAACTCATATGTGCAAATAGAGTACACGTGTGTATGCAATTTATTGAGTCATGCATGTTATATATTGCCATGCATGCTAGAGCAAGAAAACATAATTCTAGGTCCCTCATTTATGGTTAACTCTAAACTGATGAGATGTAAAGACATTTGAAGTGTTACCTATTGATAATTGTGGGTACCATAATGTTTTGCTATTTATTGGCTGCATGCAGTTTTGAGGCATGACATATTTGGTATCTACTTACTCAACACTACCTCATATTTTGTACGAAAAATGGGTATTGAATTGTGTTTGTGTGCTATAAAATTCATTGTATTGCTTATTACTGAAAGTGTAGTTTGGCCAAACAGTTGCACACATATCATAAAACATTAAAAAACTGAAAGACTCTTCTTTCAGAAATGATATAATCTGTATAATAACCATATATTCTGATTTTAACATGAAAAAAAATGCTTTAGAGGGGAAGTGGTTTATGTGAAGAAAGTTTAACAAAAGTAAGGTGAGGATTCAAGCAAATCATTGCAGCATGTTTTCTTTTTTTGGGTGTCAACAAATAGTAACATTAGAAAAGAAGGGTGATGCTTTTTATGTATTGCATCATGCTTGGATAATGGAAAGCTGGAATGTTGCCTAGCTGATAGACATATATATGTGCAAATTTCAAATTTTTTTCACAAGTAAAAATGTGTGTTATATGAAGTAGATAGTTATTTTTACATCTAGATAACTAGATATTGAGATAGAATTTCTTTTGTTATGAATGCTTATTTTTTTAGTCTTCTGAAAAAAATGGAATGTGAGAAATTAGAATTTACACAGGTAGAGAGAACTACTGTATTCGTTCAGAATCCAATGCAATTTTTTATTAAAAAGACTGGATGTATGCCAAGAGTCAGCTAGGCAAGGTGCCTCATTCCTGCTGACACCCAGTATTTATTTTGTGGGTACACATCCTCCCTGTCTCTTTAATTCAGAATCCAGAATATATAGAATAATTTAATGGTTGGTTGTCTGGAATGGACAGATAGTCTCTTGAATTTCGTACTGTTATTCTGATATGTGTGCCCTGTGCGCCCTTTTTCTCCAGGGTAAACAGTTGACAGAAATTGATTTCATAATAATGGGCATGTTTGATTAGCTGCACTGTAACAGAGAAAACTGAATGTCAGATTTCTTGTATCTGTAGATTGAATACTCTAATGTTGTAATTATCTGTGCACCCTCTTTTACATAGGTTTACCAAGTGGAAAATATGTGCTCAGAGGAAGTGCCAGTGATGCAGCAAGACTGTGATTGTGTCATTACTCAGACCCCTACACCTCCAACACTTTCTCCCCCAGCACTTCCTATAGGCAGCGGAGAGGAGCTTCCTGTAGATCATATCTTTCAAGGTAAGAATGTAAATATTCAGTGTCTGGGGTAGTTTTGTCTGTGCATGTGTATCTAGAAATCAGCTGATTCAATTTGTTGTTCACATTAACACAATTTGTTAGCAGAGGTAGAAGTAGACTAATGTAATAAAACATAACTCTGCATTGGAAGGTTCAGTTTAAGGCTCCATGCACACTAACATTTTTTTAAAAGCTCAAAAATGCTAAAAAAAAAAGGCTGGATGGAAAACGCTGATATTAACGCTTTTGTGCTGGCTTATAGTAGCTTTTAGGAGTGTTAGCATTTTATTAGCATTTTACAGTACATGTAAAAAAAAAAAAACACTCGAAAAAAGCTGTTAGTAGTGTTTAGTAGCATTTGGTAACATTCTGCTTTTTTTCTGATGGGAAAACTCTTCCAGAAACTCTACAAAACTATTTTTTTTCTCTGCTCCTACAGTGGGGAAAATAATTATTTGATCGCCTGCAGATTTTGCAAGTTTACCCACAAAGAAATTAAAGGTCTATAATTTTTTTTTCATAGGTGTATTTTAAATGATAGAGACAGAATATCTAAAAACACTTAGTGCTTAATGCAATAGTTGACAATATAGAATAATAATGTCTAAATCCCCACAAAAGTAGGATATTATAAATCAGCATAATACATTGAATAAAGTCTATATAAAAGTCCACATGATCCAGTGGTAATGGTGCTGAGTGAACCAAACACCAGAAGGAGAGAGAGAATCCATCACCTTTCATCCAATTATTTGGCCTCTTACTGGAAAATTTGACCACCCGAAGGATTGGTCAAATAACACAGATATCAAGCCCAGCAGATGAATCCCAAATAAATCTCCCAAGAAATCCGGATGATATAAGGACTTCCCTATAAACATTGAGGTCTAGGATGGTAAATACTTCTTCACACAGTAAACACCACATAGGGAAAAAGTATTACCGCTCATAGTGTACTAGTTAAAATAAAAGATGCAATTTATTCAAGTACTAGCCATTTTTTACTTTTTCGCAATCATTTTTTTTCTTCAATTAAGACTTTATCTACGTGCTGCTTGACCTTGAATGCGACTATTAAACACTGAGCTTTGCATTGTGGTGCTTTCCAGACCTCTGTGTACTGTTAGCTGCAGAGCACTTTCCAGGGTTAGAGCCTCTGGTGTGACCTAGTCTCTAAAGACTCATTTTATGACTAGGCTGCGTGGGCCCAACATCGGAAGGTACTTTGTTTATTAGAACTGCTAGGTGCCATTATTATCCTTTTTTTCACTTGGTTTACCATGGAAATGATTGTAACGCAAAACGATTGAGTTTAGTATTGCTAGAAGTGTCGCACACTCACATTCTGTGCTTTTGTTTTTGCCATTCAGTGCGAGGTAGCACCTTCCCCATCACTGTTCCTTATTGCAAGGATAAGATATCTGATTTTTCCTCTGATCTTCCTTGTTGCCTATAGTGTCCTGGTCACTTCCATTTATTTGAACCTCTCCTGCTTCCAGCAGTTGGTTCATGAGTGCTAGAGGTTTTATCTAATATTAGAGGTATTTCTCTTCTTGAGGTGTAACATGTCTCATCCAAAACATAGAAGGAGCAGTCAAGGTAGCCGACTATAACAGGACTTACTGGTAGTGAACTGAGGCAGGATGACTAACAAACTGTAGCTGACTACTGGTAGCTACCCGCAGCTGGAAAAGCTAGTAATTGATCGTAGCAGGACTCTTGGCAGCAGACTTTAGCAGGACTGACTGGTAATGACTGCAGAGAAGGCAGGCTGGTAGCAGACTGTAGCAGCCTGACTGGTAGCAGACTGTAAGACTGGTGATGAGGGTATAAGACTGGTAGAGACTGTAGTAGACTGGTAGCGATTTTAGCAGACTGATAGAGACTGTAGCAGACTGGAGGAAGCTCGAATGCACTGACAGGTGTCAATGCTCAATCCTCGAGTGAGGCTGTAGTCTTTAATTTGACTTTGAAAAGACTTCCAGGTAACAATGCATGTTATGTGATATGGCTTGTGGCATGGCTGCAACACACTGGGCAATACCCAGATGCAGCGTGAAGGTAAGTGTCCATGACAGTCCCCAGCACTTCCAGTTTATAGTCCTGCTTTTTGGCCTGTCTTCCACACCACATTTATTCAGCAAGGTTCTATCCCTGGGGATTGCCTTGTTATGCTTCCAGGGCATCTTCATTATGGGATATCCGGAACAATCAGCACAAGTTCTGACCAGCAATCTGGTATGGACAGTTCAGTCATTAAAAAGGTTCAATTGGCTCCTGAACCTTCAGAAGTCTTCGATGAAGCCGAGTCATCCTTTGGAGTAGTTGAATCTGATCCTAGGCACAGCTCCAGCCAAAGTTTTTCTTCCACAAGAAAGACTAAAGCTCTTTACTCCCACACTCCTCAGTTCAGGAGTTGACCATATCTTTGTTTCTGTGTGCAAGCCATGGGGCTGATGGTAGCCTTTTTTAGGGCAGTCCCATATTCTCAATTTCACTCCTGACCCCTGCAGCTCAACATCCTGTCTCATGGGACAAATCAGTGTAGTCCCTGGGCAAACAAATTTTTTCTGTGACCAAAGATCATGTCGTCTGGCCTGGTAGTTCAGGAATGCAGCTCTGGAGTTTGGGAAATCCTTCCTTCCTTTTTAATTTGGTTATCTCAACACTTCAAAAACTGCTTTCTGAACCTACCAGGGATATTCTCTTTTCCACACTCACAAGATTGTTTTCCTTGTCTCTCTCACCTCTGCAAGGCGTAAATGTGAAGTAGCAGATTTATTATATAAAGAACCTTTTCTGATCTAAAACAAGGACAAGGTGGTATGAAGACCTAGAGCGTTCTTCCTTTCTAAGGTGGTTTTGGCCTTTCATCTCAACCAGGACATTGTGCTTCTTCTCTCTTTCCAGTCTCAGTACCTCAGAAGGAGATTTTCCTCCATTGTCTGTAGTTCACGCTGTGCCTGTCTCCCTTGCAGCTACTGCTTTCTTTAGAAAGACTGACTCTCTCTCTTTGTCATCTTTCATAGTCCTTGCAAAGGGGAGTCGGCTTCTTGTTTCAACTTTTCTCGGTGCCTCAGACAGCTCATTCAAGCTTGTGGTCTTAAGGATTGGGTACCACTCTTTCCTGTCAAGGCACATTCTACTAGATCTGTGAGTGCTTCTTGGGATTTTCAGCACCAGGCAACTGTTTGCCAGGTCTTCCGTTCAAATGTTCTTTAAATTTTACCAGGTGGATATTTAGGTCTAATCTGATGCCAGCTTCAGGGTGTAAGGACTTTCAGCAGCACACATCCCCTATTTTTTTCTTTTATTTATAGTTGGGCCTGTTAGCATTTTGTTTGCTGTGTTGCCTACCCATCAGTTGGACTGCAATTGCCCCTTAATTATTTGTCCCTCAAGGAACAAGAAACAGAAATTGGATTTTCTGCCTATGCTGGGCTGCTGTACTCTTTTGTGATATGGCCTGCCTTTTTTTGAGGAACTGAAGCATTCTTAGATTGTAAGCTCCAAGGAGCAGGGCCCTCCTAACCCTCTTGTATTGAACTGTAGTGTTGCTGTATTGTCTCCCCTTTTATATTGTAAAGCGCTGAGCAAAATGTTGGCGCTATATAAATCCTGTATAATAATAATCATGTTTGCTTGTTCTCAACACAAAACATTGCTAATCTTTGACAACTAAATAACTTTTTTCTGTAGTTTCTGTATACAGTACGTGTATAAAAATGATCTTATACAAGAGATATTCCTGAAAACAAATGTGATTGTATGAGTGCCCTTAATGGTGGGAAATATGTTGGTGGTATAAAAACAGTTAAATATACAACACTTATCATGTAAGGTTGATATTTGTTACAATTCTTAGGTCTCCCAAGCGTGGTATCTTCAGTGAGTGCCTCAGTTATTAAGTCACCTTCGGACTCCTCCTATGCCTCCATACCTGCACCTCCTCTTCTTTTACCAGCTGCTACTACAAGAAGCAATAGTACACAGAAGCCTAACAGCATCCCCGGTTTGGATAGCAAGCTTCCTCAAGCCATAGTGAAACCGCAGATCCTAACTCATGTCATTGAAGGATTTGTCATTCAGGAAGGTCTTGAACCATTTCCTGTAAGTATGGCTTCATTTTAGCCTTTAAAAATACCTTTCACCTAGAGCTACATTATGCCTTATGTAATTAACCCTTTTTTTCTTGCCACTGACAAAAGGCATATGGCAGAACACAACCGCTTCCAGCTGGCCAGGTCAGTATGCCTTACATCAGCTGCATTCCACCTTACGCTATAAGCTCATGGTCGCTTTTGTAACCATGAACTCATACCAGAACTGTCCCCCAGACTCACCTGATTAAAATATAACTTTGATCACAGCTATTCATTAAACATTTGACATCACCTGCACTGCACAGTGATCCTGTGTGGCCTCTTCTGTCCCCACCTCCCTGTGACCTAGATTCCCCCCCCCCCCATGCTTTTCCTCAGCCTCTCTACCACAGCCATAGCGTACAGCTCCGATTCCCTTCAGGTATCAATCACTGTTGTACTCATTCATAACTGAGTATAGTAAACAGTATTACAGTAAACAGATACTGAAGACTCATTGTCTCAAAAATGAACATCAGTGGTCTGTTTAGACCCATATTATTTCACTCCCTTCTCCCAAAACAGGACTGTTAACAAAACAAAAATAAATGTAAAAAAAAAATTGTTTTAAAAAAATGAAATTGTAAAAATAAAATGGAAAATTTGGAAAAAAATAAAGAATTTGTTAAATATGATAATACATATATTTCTGTGCCCGGGTGTCACAGGTGTTTGCATACAGCCATGTGCAGCAGTCTGTACAAATCAATGTTTAGCTGTACATCATGGCTGTATACATGTAAACACAAATCCTGGATGCAAACTGGGCCGCTCCTACAACCCTGTACGTTTGCAACCACTCAGATGTGTGGTCACATGCATACATCCACAGCATCTCTAAGCCTGTCATTGATTTGTACAGGTTTATGACCGCTGCTGTACAAAAACACCTGTGACTCCTGGGTGCAGAAATATACTCCCTCTCTTCATGCTGTTTGGGCCTTTGTGGTCATGTGAATGAGGCCTAAAACACCCTCACACAAAAATTTCAAACACATATAGCATAACATACATGTGGACTACAAACATAGTGGTAATTAGCATGTTGCATGTGTTGGAACTCACACGTTGCATGTGTTACAACTCACACTAATTTAAATTTACAAATATTTGTTATTTAATAACTCATTAAATGTTTTATCTTTTAGATTTAGTAGGAATTTAGTATGAACTTTGTATTTTTTTCAAAATATTGTTTTTAATTAGAGATGTGCATGACAGAAAAATTATTTTCGTTTCGGATTCATTCGTTAAGTTAATAATTTTGTTTCATTATATGTTAGAATTATTCATTTTCTGAATTTTTTTTCATATATTCGTTTCGTATATGCGTTATTTTCAAATTGATTCAAAATGAATTTGAATTTAAACATGAATTTGAATTTCAAATGGAAACATATTGCAATAAATACATTAAGGTATAAAAGTGAAATAAGATGATGATTCCTATTTAGGCTGCTTTATAGAAAATAAATGTATAGAATAGAATAAACCTAAATAGAATATAATTAAATAGAATGAGGCAGAATAGAATAGAATATAAGGGAATAGAATAAAATAAAATTAACAATAAAATTGAATAAAAATTAATAGAATAGATAAAAAAAATAGAATAAGATAGAGTAAATAGAATATAACAGAATAGAAACAAATAAAATAGAATGAATATAGTTGTCTTCAAATTTCGGAAGATGGCTATATCCATTTTATTTTGTATTTTATTTTCTATTCTAATTTATTCTGTTCATTTATTTTCATTTCTATTCTGTTTTATTGCATTCTATTATTTTATTTTTTTCTATTCTATTCTGTTCTCCTCTTTTGTTTTCTATTCTGTTATTTTATTCTTTTATATTCTATTTTACCCTATCCTGTTCTATTTTATTTTCTTCTATTCAGCAGCCGAAGTAGGAATCATCATCCTTTTTCACTTTTATACCTTACTGCATTTATTGCAATATGTTTCTATTTTGCAATCAAAATAATTTTCAAATTCAGATAATTTGTTTTGTTATAATTTATTTCGGATTTGTTGAAATTCGTTACTATTGTGATTTGGAAATTCAGAAACATCCGGATCTCTGAATAATGAAAATTTTGTCTGGATTTCAATTTGTAATGAAACAAATCACAAATGTCTATTTTTAATTAACATTTTCACAACAGTCATGGGACCTACAACGTCAGTAGCAACGTCTTTTTCGTTTACTGGTCCTATGCTTTCAGAAAATGTTTGCAAGTCTGGCCAATTAAGGATTAAAGTGGAATGTATGGCCTGGCAGCGTAAGGGTTAATAGCAGTATAGAATACGAAACGAATACTGTGAAGAAAATTGTTTCTATACTCTTCTGGGCTTAAAAAAAGCCAATTCCTGTGATGTACTGTTTTTGATGTATTTTGTACAAGTTGTGCTGTTAGAAATACTGAATAAAGATTGTAATGAAATTGGCATTCCTTTACACATATACTGTGACTTGTAGACCTAAGGTCCTTGTAATGTGGTCAGAGCAAAATGTCCTTTTTGTTACGTTTGTTATATAGGTAAATCGGTCTTCCCTCCTGGTGGAGGAACCTGCCAAAGGGCAGTTGCCATTGGATGAGCAGATAATGAACATGGCTGATATGGAGTCTGATATTCAGAGCACAGCTAAACTCCCCGACAACTCTACAGACACTGAGGTGGAAGACCTGACTGCTGAGGGTTAGTGAGTTGAATGTGTATTCCGTTTTTACGTCCTTCTTGAACATTTATTCCATTATTTTTCATTTCATTTTCAGAGGTAAAACACTGCATTTTATTGTGTGGGCTAGTGTGAATGAACAGCAGTTGCCTCAAAGATCTGAGACTACTTGAGACTTTCTATTTGTGACAATGCTTTCTTTAACCAGTTTTTTTCAGGTTTTCGGCTAAAAAATATTTCTGCATAACAATAGTACTTGACGGGTGGTCATTTTATGGGACCCTTCAGCACAACCCCCAGTGACTTTGTCATTATTTAGTAACATGTTTGTAAAATATTTTTTCTTATTAAGTAACTCAAATCAAGTATTATATTTTTTTACTTTCTGAATTAATTTACATTAGCATGTCAGCAGTGTGCTTCAACTTTGCATTTAGTAGGCATAGACTGAGGGCTGACTGTATTTCTGCTGTATAAAGGCCAGGACACACGGGCCAAAAATTTTGGTCCATGTGTTCAGCTGTCTTTTCAGCAGAAGCCGATTTAACAACCCCACTTGGTAAACAAAAAAACAGTGTGTGTACCAAGCTTAACACTGCTTTTGTAATATTTTAGGACATTAGTGTGAAAATCATCCAAACCCTGTACTATAAAACATTTGACTTGGTTTTAACAGTATTATTTTTGTCATTCCAGTTCCAGGAGTGGGGAGTAGAGTAGAAGAAGGGGAACCTAAACATTCTCTTTGGGTGGGGAGGCATACACGTTTTTTTTCTGCTGTAGGGTACACCGTTGCACTATTACAAAGTTTGGATCTAGATAGAGGTGCTGTTTATGAGAGGCATGTCCTCTCTTTTCTTGGTTTAAAGAGGACATGACCTGCATTGTGTTTTTAAAACAGTATGTAGAGTATGAACTAAAAGTGTGTACATGCCAAACACATTAAAAGGAAATGACAGCCATATACATCACAAGAAAATGTTGGCCAAGTTAAGTTGTTAATTATTTCTTCTCTTGGTGTACTGTTCAGCAGAAGGAATGAATGTTTTTTTTTACTGGCATCTGACTAGATGTGTTCCAAACGATTCTCTTAAAGGAGAAGTACAGCCAAAGCTCTTTTGGCTGTACTTCTTCTGTGGATCACAGGAGTACAGTTTGTTCTGCACTCCTGTGACCCGTTTTCAAAGCTGAGATCCACCCCAGAGTCTAGAGTGGCACCTGGCTTAGCATCTCAGCAAGCCGCTGCCAGACTCCGCTCTCTGTGGTGTGAGAACTCAGCGATCAGCAATCATGTGATCACTGAGTTATCACCCTTAGAGCCGATGGGGGACCGATGCTGCATCTACCTAGGTAAGTATAAAGGGGGGAAAAAAAAGCCCTACTTCTCTTTTTAATTAATCGGTTGCTCTAGTGCAAATGAAGAAATAATGAGCATACATAGGTTCTCTCTCATGAGTTATTTTATGACCCTCTTCTCTCCTGAGACAGAGGATTGTAATCTGGAAAAATTCTTCAACCTGCTGCCTAAGGCTCGATTCACACTACTGTGACCTGAAAGTTGCACGACTTACAGTGCAACATTGCCAGGCGATATCCTGGTGTCTTGATGCGACTTTCATACCAGGCGACTTTGGGTAATCTTACTGTAATGTCAGATCCAAATGACATCAATATAAATGAAGATCCGACTTGGAGGCGACTTCCATTAAAGTCTGTGGGCACAAGTTGGATAGACGTAGTACAGGAACCATTTCCAAAGTCGGAGTGACTTCAGTAGTGCTAATTAAGACAGCTCTCATTGACTAACATGGGATTTCACATATCATGCGTCTTAGGGTCTCACAAGTTGGATCCCAAGTCGCAGCAGTGTGAACCAAGCCTAAGAGTTCCAGGAAAGCCCCAACAAAATCATGTTTTTACAAAGTGGCAAATCTCATTTAGCAACCAGGACATTTCAGAACAGCATACTCTGTAAGATAAAGAGCTGAGCATGGCATCAGAAGGAAACTAACAGTTTTCCTGTGCTCTTTTAAAAAATGTTATGTATTATTTTCAGTTGTTTTACATGCAGTCAATCAAAAAACAGTAGACAATAAAGCATAGGTTAGGTTTTTTTTCCTAAATCCATGTCATATCAGAAATACACTATACAGCTGGTGGTTTTAAAGTTTAACTAGTCAATAAGTCAGAAGCGCTGTGCAGAGCTACTAATATGCAGAGGACTAACCTCTGCACAAGTTCACAATTGTCCATTTTTACCCATGTAGATGCTGTATTTACCCATCTACTTGTAAATTAGATATTTTCCTTTTAAGTAAAGTGTTGTTTGTTTGGGGCAGTGTTGTTGTTTTTCTCCATTAATTAAGTGATATCCCTAATCCCAGTCTTAATGGTATACCCCCAAACAGAAGTCTCAAAACCATCGCCCAGGAACAAAGTGCTCCTACCCAGAAGATGTTACAGTGGAATTTAGCAGGTGAGGTGCAGGCAGGTAATGTTATATCACGAGAATTTTAGTGGTGCAGGCAGGATACCCTTTCTTTTGTTTTCACAACTGGACAGAAACTCTATGACTGTATTCCTTTGAAAGCCAGCACAGAGTAACAGATGATGGTAAGTTTTTTTGGATCCTATTTAAGTACATAACTACAATAAATGCTTTGGACAATTTTTTATCAATAAGTACTTAAAGTGGAGTTCCAGTTGCACTGTGAAAAAATAAAAGTCATCAGCTACAAAAACTGTAGCTGCTGACTTTTAAAAAACAGCCACTCACCTGTCCCACGATCCCACTGTGTCCTCCCCACAGCCCGTTTCTCCAGCCGTCTGGTGTTCCAGGTGCCGGCATCTTCAGTGTGGGCACCCGGCTATGACAGCTTGCGGCTTCACAGCCGGTGCCCACTGCGCATGCGCTAGTAGCGTTGCACTTCCTGAATGGCCCCGTTGTCTTCTGGGACCTGTCACGTGTCTCAGAAGACTGCGGGGAGGGAGGGTAGGAGGACAACTTCCGCTTCTGATCGCTTAAGAAGTCGCAGCGGAAGTGGGAGCGGGTACCTGTCAATTTCATTTACCCACTGCCCAAAGGTGCCAATCCTTAATGGGGAGCGGGGGACCAGTCTTTAAAGCGAAACTTCCCCTTTTGGGTAGAGCTCCTCTTTAATCCCAAATTAAGTTTTATTATAATTATATTACAGCATTGTGATCTTTAGAACATTTGATCTATTATCTTTATTATTATTATGATTTTTATGGATTAATTTAAGCCAGCCATAGACAGTTCGAATCTCAGCCGCTTCAGCAAGGACCAGCCGAGATTTGAACCATGTATGGGCAGGCTGAATGTACCCAAATTAATCAACTTGGGTACAACCAGCCTGTCAGATTTAAAAATGCAAATATTTCTAGAGGCTATTATAGCTGCTAAAAGTAATCACTGTGTTTCCCTGCGAGGATGGCTCCCCGCACCCTATCCCCTCCCTTTCCCAGCATGGGAACACAATGGCTCTGCCGGAGGGATTCCCCCATCAACACGGTCAGTCACCTGTGATTGCAGGAAAAAATTGCTCCGTCTATGGCTGGGTTTAGGAAATAGCTAATATGTAGCTGTTAACCTCATTGGACAAAGACAGGCCTTCTTTAAAGCCAAATCCTTATAGTTACTGATATCTTTATCATCTAAATGGCCTGACAAGCTTGTAAAAATGCAGCCCAGTATATTTCTACTGTTCCAGTATTGGTCTTTCTGCAAACCTTCTCAACCTTTTCATCTCATATTGGACCATCAGAGGATGTGATCAGAGCTAAGAGTAAACTTATCTTCCCTCCAGTTGTCCACCCTTAACCCGAACAAGTCATAAGACTGCCAGGAGCTGCACAAATACTTGGGGGTTCTATGTTTTTTTTTTTCCAAGCAGATCGCTACACTTGGTCTGAGGTACACTTGGGATTTGTGTGCTGCCAGACAGAGCAGTCAGTCAGAGTCCATCTACTGTACTTCACACATATCCTGGCCACTGCTCAGACCTGGAAACAGTGATCTGACAGTAGAAGCTCAAGACTCTTAAAGGTAACTATGTAGGCGTCACCTGGCTGATTACAGCTAGTTTAAGTTAGGGATCAATGAGAAGACCTAAGTAAATTTAATTAAAAAGAAATAAAGATGCACCCTGCAGAGACTGGTTTTAAAAATGTGTAAATATGTACTATTTGTGCAATTATTTGCTTGCCATCACTTAAGTGTTGAGCTTTATTATATGAGGCCATCCACCATTGACAAGAATAATGTAGAACTGTGCCTCTCTCTTCCACTACTAATGCATGACATAGAATGGGCATACTGTACGGTTCCCACCTCATCCTTTAAAACCAAACATATACTGGAATAATTACAGAGGTTCTGAGGCTAATTGAATAATAATAAGGAAATCAGTGAGTTTAATTACCACCTTAATCATCCACAGAATCTGTGTACTTAAAGGACGCTTATAAACGGTCACCCGCTCCTGCACTGCTCCCGTCCGGCCATTTATGTACATGGGCTGACAGGAGCAGTGCAGGAGCGGGTGGTCATTTATAAACGTACTGCCAAATTCCCTGCCTGTGTGCGCTCCCTGGGAGAGCGCAGCACTGCGATCCGGTGCCCGGAGGACACAGCGGAACACCAATAGGTGCATGGGACCTCTGTGTGAGGTCCTGATAATGTGATCACTGATTGGCCAGTCAGTGATCACATGAATAGTTGTAAGCAAGATGTCACTTCCTGAAATCATTGCTTACTACGTGTGAAATCTGTGAATGATCATAGAGGTTACATGGTACAAGGCTATTCACAACAGCCTTGTACCATGTGACAAGCTGTGACCAATCACAGCTCTCACAGTATTTCTCAATGGCATCAAGAATGCAGGCAGAGAGAAGGAGAAATGATTACTTTTACAGCCTTTGTGGGTATAAAAGCAATCGGTGTAAAAAAAAAAAAAATCTTCACCCCCCCCACAAGTAGAACAGTGTCACTATGGTGACACTGTACTGCTAGGGTGGCAGTATGTTAAAAATAATAAAAAAAAATATATATATAATATATATATATATATATATATAATAATATAAACAAAATAAAAACATTTTTGAAAAATTATAATTTTTGGTTATAAACTAATTTGGGTTATTTTTTTTTCACTAAAAAGATAGATGAATATATTTTGACCAAGATTTATGAAGAAAGATTATTTATTTGCAAAATTTTATAAGAAAAACACTTTTTTTTTTCAAAATGTTTGGACTTTTTCATTTATATAGCAAAAAAATAAAAATCCAGTGGTGAATAAATACCACCAAAATAAAGTTTTATCTATCTCAAAAAAATGCTAAAAAATTCATATGGGTACAATGTTGCAGGACCGCGCAATTGTCATTCAATGTGTGATAGTACTGAAAGCTGAAAATTGGCCTGTACTGGAAGGGGGCGTAAGTGTCCGGACTTGAAGTGGTTAATATGTGTTTAGTTTTAAAGAGAAGAGGTGGCAACTTTAGCGTTCTGTCCTTCGCCCGTTTTCAATGCCCAGTGCTCTGGCTGCCCATGGTTGGCATGAAGTATTTGCTATTCATGCGTGACCAATTGCTTGCATTCTCTGGAAGCTGGTAGATGCTTGCATATGCACAGTCTGTTTATTGCATCAGCTGTGGGCAGCTGCAACAGAGAGTGGGCATGTTTGAGCACTGTGCAACAGCATTACCTGTCAAAGCATTCATGAAGCCTTGGCCTGCTGATTGGAAACCACAGATCTAATGCAGGCCATACATGGTTCGAAAATCGGCCAATTTTTCGTCCGAAAGAATAATCGGCCGATTTTCCCAGTCTTTGTTGGGCAATGGCATCGGACGATTTTCGTGCTACCTCCTCATTACATTTATCAGGCATGCTGGAAATTTCCTGAAAAACGACCGATTTTTCGAAATCATTGGTGGCAACATCGGATTACAGAACGAACGATGTTTCGTTTTTCGGACGAAAAATCATTCGGAATTCGAACCGTCTATGGCCTGCATTAAGCATAATTGTTATGCAGTGCCTATCCTTTTTGCATCAGATTGCTGACCCTCTGCATCCCCTCCTTGTCCTGCACCTGCAGGCTTCGATTTCTGTTTTGTAGCACTAAACATTCGTTGTTCCTAAAGCCATACACATGTGCACTCGTTCCTGCACACATTAGATTTTTACATGCGACTGTGCCTATTAAGCTGCTGCGTCTGCATCCACGTCTACTGGCTGCCCACATGCAGCTTCAAGGTGGATGAAAACCCAAAAGACAGCAGCTTGGCATGCAGGACGGGTTTCAGTGCCAATCTGAATGAGCCCTTAGGACATACCTTAGAAAAAAAACTTCAAAATGGGTGCTCACTGAAATTAGTCTGTAGTTTCCCTTTAACACAGTAACAGGTTGGCAAATTTACTTTAGTTACATATTATATACTGTAATTTCTGTAAGGAGGAAATGATCTCTCAGCTTCACCCTCCTTTAATGTGGTCAGATGTATACAGGTCACAAAACAAGCTTCCAGTACAAAAATATTGTCACAGATCACTGATTCATTTCATATATCCATGTCAGATTGCTGTATTTTAGGGCTAAAATATTTTGTAAAAGCACTGTAGGCTGAGAAAGGGGGAGAAGATTGTAAATTTGGTATAAATTGGGACCCCATATTCCCTGAATAGAGTACAATGGATACACTGAAGAGCAGATGTTAAGACAGAAACATGGAGTTTTTTTTAAAGGTGTAAACTCCAGGCCTGGTATTCTTATCTTTCCTTTCCTACTAAACAACTTTAAAGCAAATCAGCAATGGCACCTCCCAACCTGCTGAGACATTGTTTTTAAAGTACCTCTAAACCCAAAAACCACAAATTCGTATATAATAGCTTACCAGTGCTTAGATGTGGTGGCTGCAATCATTTTCTTTTTTGAGGCAGGGTCTTGTAGTCCTTAGAACACTATTAGTCTGCATTCACATTTGGTGTTTTGTGAACGCAAGCAAAATGACAATTGTACGCGTTTCTGCGCCACATGCATAGATTTCAATGGGCTGCCCTACGCATGTTAAACTTGGCAAAGTAGCTCATGTACCTTTTTGACCATCGAGCTTTGTACCTTTTTTAACCACATTTGTTGTATGTGACAAATGGTGCATTTGAGGTACAATTAACAATGAATGGCAACACAAGAGCCATGTATGTTTTTTGTGTGCCTTGTAAATACACGTTCACAAAACACTAAAGTGTGAATACAGTCTAAAGAAATGGTCTCCAAACTGCGGCCCTTTGCTTGCCTGTATCTGGCCCTTTGGGCATTGTTCTTCCCATTGATATGAGGCAGTATTCCTCCCACTGACACCAACAATAAGTTTCCATTGCTCCCACAGACACCAACTGTGGAATGCTATTCCTCCCACTGACACCAATGATGGAGCACTAATCCTCCTACTGATACCAACGATTGGGGCACTATCCCTCCCACTGACACCAATGATGAGGCACTATTTCTCCCACTGACACTAGTAGTGGGGTACTATTCCTTGCACTGACACCAATGATAGGGTACTATTCATCTCACTAACACCAATGATAGGGCACTATTCCTCCCACTAACACCAACAGTGGGGTACTATTCTTCCAACTGACACCAGTGATGGGGCACTATTCCTCCTACTGACACCAATGATGGGGCACTATTCCTCCCACTGACACCAGTGATGGGGCACTATTCCTCCTACTGACACTAACAATGGGGTACTATTCCTCCCACTGACACCAATGATGGAGTACTATTCCTCCCACTGACACCAATGATGTGGCACTATTTCGCCCACTGACACCAATAATGGGGTACTATTCCTCCCACTGACACCAATGATGGGGCACTATTCCTCCCACTGACACCAATGAGGGGGTACTACTCCCCCTACTGACACAGATGACGGGGCATTGATCCTCCTCCTTCTGACCACAGGCAATATGTAAGTTAATTTGCACTGACCACCCAGCCTGAGACATTGTCTACTCCCACTGACACCGGGGAGGTTTCTACTCCCACTGGTCACAGTCTGGCCCCCCTAGGGTCTTAGCGGTAGTAAACAGGCCCTTTGTTAAGAAGGTTTGGAGACCCCTGGTCTAAAGGATAAGAGTGAGTGCAGCTCAGGCAAAGGACACAGGAAGCTGGTTTACTGACAAGATTTCTGGGAAAATCAACAGGTATTTTTACACTTATCTAACCGATATAAACAACATGCTTTCAATAGTATATTTAACAGATCAAAAAGGAACAGATTTAATTTTGTTTTGTTTTTTGTGTATTTAATTATTTTTCTTTAAAGGATAAGTTCACCTTTGTAAATAAAAAAAAATAGGTAAAAAAAAAATGTGCATTTATTATTTCTTACATTTCAGCCTGTAAGGCATTGCACGCGCGATTATCAGATTGTGGGTGCAATGCCTGGATCCTGCATACTCTCTCAGTATACTGTCTGCCCATACATCGTACGGGCAGGCAGTTACTGAATGACAGGAAGGACTAATGAACTACCTAGAGCACTCATTAGCACCCTGGTAGGTCATTGAGAACTACAAGCTGTCTGCCACAAAACCTTTGAGGCTGACGGTAGTTGTAGTTCTTCCATTCATAGAATGGAATGAATGAATGATGCCGAGCCGAGTAGGTGGAGCCCCGCATAGCCACGTTTATTAAAAATAGTGACCTCGAGTTCGGAGAGAAGATCCCCGGCTTGTTATCAGGGAGGCAGTAGATTGGGGAGAGCCTGCAGGAGTGGGAACATGTTACATGTTCCACCCTAAAAACAGGTGTAACGTCCCCAAAGGTGAACCTTTAAATTTTTAGTTTGCATCTTTCAGTGTTATATATACAACCTCCTGTGCTCTGTTAGGATTACCTGTTGCTGAACACAGACCAACAGGGATTTTTTCTTGCTTCTGTTCTGTTGGTATTATTAAGATTACTGTTACTCACTATGAATACATATCTCAATGGTGAATGAGTTAGTAGGGTGATAGGCTGAATATTTTTTTTCTTGGCAGAAGGTGTGGATGAACTAGAATGTGAGCTATTGGAGTGTGAATATTGTGGGAAAACAGGATATCCAAACAAGTTCCTGAGGTCGAAGAGGTTCTGCTCTCTGTCATGCGCAAAAAGGTAATTAGCATTGTTATATAGGACTCAATCTGACAAAAACATTTTATTTTGGGCAGGATTATCCTGAAAAGTTTATACCGCTAAAAAATTAGGTTGTTTAAACATTCTGACTAAGGGGAGTTCCAGTTTTTAGAAGCATCCAACCTGTAGAAATTCCAAGTGGGTCATAATAACAATTGCAGTCTTTTAGTTCTTCATCAAACATTCTAAAGGCAGCAGTAGAACTAATCTAGGTGAGTACTGCAAAGCCTAGTACACACGATCTGAAATCTGGCCAAAAGATACAGTTTATGAAGCAACTGTACAATAATCTGATAGAACACATATTTCAAGAGCCGATCACGAAAGTTCATGCAAAATTATCTGAAGGGACAAGCACAAAATAAACAGTCAGGTCCATAAATATTGGGACATCGACACAATTCTAACATTTTTGGCTCTATACACCACCACAATGGATTTGAAATTAAACTAGTAAGATGTGCTTTAACTGCAGACTGTCAGCTTTAATTTGAGGGTACTTACATCCAAATCAGGTGAACGGTGTAGGAATTACAACAGTTTACATATGTGCCTTCCACTTGTTAAGGGACCAAAAGTAATGGGACAAAATAATAATCATAAATCAAACTTTCACTTTCACTCGTTTCATTTCAAATCCATTGTGGTGGTGTATAGAGCCAAAAATGTTAGAATTATGTTGATGTCCCAATATTTATGGGCCTGACTGTATATATATAGTACATTCACATCAGTCTCTAACCCTTAAGGAGTGCACATCTAAGGTCCCTAACTCACCTTCATACAGGCTAGGGCCAATATAGACAGGAACCAATTAACCTACCAGCATGTCTTTGGACTATGGTAGGAAACCACAGTACCTGGAGGAAACTCACACAGGCACAGGGAGAACATGCAAACTCCAGGCAGTTGGTGCCATGGTTGGGATTTGAACCAACAACCCTAGTACTGCCAGGCAGAAGTGCTAACTATTTAGCTGCTGTGCTGCCCACTACAGTTTTATTCTGAAAAAAAAATCAGAAGACCAAGACCATGCATGCTTGGAAACAAAAGAATACATTACCATACAATACAACACATTGGGGTTGATTTACTAAAGGTAAATATACTGTGCACTGCAAGTGAATCACAAATGCACTGGAAGTGCAGTTACTTTATATCCAAGGGGAATCTCTGAAATGAGGTGAAGCTCTGCTGATTTCTTTCATGCAATCATGTGCAAGCAAAAATGCAGTTTTTTTTTATTTTCCTTGCATGTTACCCTCAGATCTAGAGCAACTGCACTTTCAGTGCACTTGGAGTGCACAGCCTATTTACCTTTAGGAAATCAACCCCATTACATCACTTCCAAAGGTTTAGTAACCTATTGGTTTTCAATATGAGACTAGCATGCAGGGAAAAAAAATGAACAATCATTCGTCCGATATTCTCATTGTGTGTAAGATGCATTGGGGCTTGTTAATATAAAATATATAAACTCAATGCTGCGCTGCTAGTGTACAGTTTACAAATCTAAATCATCAATACAATAGAGTGAAAATATACAATGAGGAACAGAAGTATTTGAACACCCTGCGATTTTCTCCCACTTAGAAATCATGGAGAGGTCTGAAATTCACACTGTAGGTGCATTCCCACTCTGAGAGACAGAATTGTTAAAATAAATTCAGGAAATCACATTGTATGATTTTTAAAGAATTTATTTGTCTTTGAACACCTAAGAAACAGCAAGAATTCTGGCTCTCAAAGACCTGTTACTGTGCCTTTAAAAAGTCCATCTCTACTCCGCTCAATAATCTAACTTAGTGGCACCTGTCTGAGCTCTTTAAAGACACCTGTCCACCCCACAGTCAGTCAGACGCCAAATACTACCATGGGCAAGACCAGAGAGCTGTCAAAAGACTCCAGGGACAAAACTGTTGGAGCAATTGTTAGAAAATGGAAGAGGCTAAAGACGACTGTCAGTCTCCCTCGGACTGGGGCTCCATGCAAGATCTCACCTCGTGGGGTATCACTGATGATAAGAAAGGTGAGGAAAAGGTGAGGAATCAGCCCAGAACTACGAGCTGGTCAATGACATGAAGAGAGCTGGGACCACAGTTTCAAAGGTCACTGTCGGTAGAACACTACACCGTCATGGTTTCAAATAATGCATTGCACGGAAGGTTCCCCTGCTCAAGTCATCACATGTCCAGGCCCGTGTGAAGTTTGCCAATGACCATCTGGATGATCCAGAGGAGGCATGGGAGAAAGTCAGGTGGTCAGATGAGACCAAAGTAGAACTTTTTGGTCTAAACTTCACTCGTGGTGTTTGGAGGAAAAAGAAGGATGAGTTGCATCCCAAGAACACCATCCCTACTGTGAAGCACGAGGGTGGTAACATAATGCTTTGGGGGTGCTTTTCTGTGAAGGAGACAGAACGACTGCACTGTATTAAGGAGAGGATGAATGGGGCCATTTATTGTGAGATTTTGAGCAACAACCTCCTTCCCTCAGTCAGAGCATTGAAGATGGGTCGTGGCTGGGTCTTCCAACATGACAACGACCCTAAGTACACAGCCAGGATAACCAAGGAGTGGCTCCATAAGAAACATATCAAGGTTCTGGAGTGTGGCCTAGCCAGGATCTCCAGACCTAAATCCAATAGAACATCTTTGGAGGGAGCTGAAACTCCATGTTGCTCAGCGACAGCCCCGAAACCTGACAGATCTAGAGGAGATCTGTGTGGAGGAGTGGGCCAAAATCCCTGTTGCAATGTGTGCAAAAACCTGGTCAAGAACTACAAGAAACGTTTGACCTCTGTAATTGCAAACAAAGGCTTCTGTACTAAATATTAACACTGATTTTCTCAGGTGTTCAAATACTTATGTTCAGCAGTGCAAGTTAAATATATTCTTTAAAAATCATACAATGTGATTTCCTGAATTTATTTTTTAATTTTGTCTCTCAGAGTGGGAATGCACCTACAATGTGAATTTCAGACCCCTCCATGATTTCTAAGTGGGAGAACTTGCAAAATCGCAGGGTGTTCAAATACTTCTGTTCCTCACTGTATAACATGCACAAAGTCCAAACACAAATCATAATAATAAAGTGTCCATGAAATTCTTCTCAACTTTATAAGCTTCTTCACGTTCTCATAAAACCTACACCATCAATAGAACTGCTGTAAAACATGCAGGCTGTGTCACCTCAGTGCTCACAGAACTTAGAGCAGTAAGATTGTGCTTTATAATAACAAGTACGCAAAGGTTCTTCCACTCTCCTTGTCATCAACCATATCAGAATTGCTGGACACCCCCTCTTTCCTTTCAATAAAAACCAAAGAAAAGACTGGTCCCTTTAAAGGTGATTTTAGGTCAGAGATTCCTATTGTTATACAGAGGAAACAAAGGACACTCCCATGGTGCAGTATGTACTAACAAGTAAGCTTTATTAAAAGGTAATACAATCACTTGTATATAAAGGTAAAAACGCCATAAATAATCACCAAATCCAGGCTGCGCTTCTGCATGCGTCACTTGCGGTTCATATAATAATAATAATATTAAAAGACATAATGATAACGTCATAATAGGCCATGAATCTGAAGCAGAAATAAGCAATAATAATAACAATTATTAAACATGTGTGATAATAAAACAACTTAAAGAAATAAGAATCCTAAATAATATCAAATAAAAATATTAATATGAAATCATGGACTGACATCCAAAGACCTCAACTCATGATAAGGGTAATATCTAGATTACATCTAAAATAAATAAATAGCTATCCCAAATGGAAGGTCACTCACATAAACATAGATAAAAAAATAAAAATCACTAATAAAACAGTTTGAATCAAACTCAACATTCAAACCATTAGGGGTCAGAGTGTCTAAAGTATGCATCCACCTTGACTCATATTAACTAAGAGTGCGTATTTTTTGGCTTCCTCTCCAATGTTTCTTATCCTTTTCAATCCCCCAGACTTTTTGGTGAGATGGATCCTTATTATGCACTAATGCAAAGTGTTTGGATACACTATATACTTACAATACTTACTGTAGCCTTTTTTAATATTTTGTATGTGTTCTTTAATTCTGACTTTAATTTTGACTACTCCTTCTGTATTGCAACATATAAATTCTTTAATGGGATAGGTTTTATCTGTAGTAGCCCTAAATTCAGACTTCTTCTCAGTTAATCTTCTAGTATGACAACACGCATAAAATCTTTTACAGGGATAGAAACCTTCTCAAAAAAAATTATTAATTGGTGGTGGTTCAATTACATTTTATACTATTTTACTCCTTATAGTGTGAGCTTTTTAATATATAAATCTGGGTCGATCAGGTAAGACGGTGTTTATCTGCCTTGAGTATATGCCAGTGCCGTTGTATGATCTTTTCTACTTCTTTGTACTGTAAATTATGCTCCAGAATAGTTGGTACCATGTCTTTATGTTGTTTATCGTTCATGACTGTGTTGATCAATTTATCGCTATCATATCAAGCCAAAATGATGGGTAGAAGATTTACTACTAAAGGGTATGATCAACAATTTATCAATAATAAGATCAAAGAAGTGGCAGACATGGATAGAGATAAATTGATCAACACAGTCATGAACGATAAACAACATAAAGACAGCACTGGCATATACTCAAGGTAGATAAACACTTCTGTACCATCTTACCTGATCCACCCAGATTTATATATAAAAAAGCTCCCACTATAAGGGGTAAAATAGTAAAAAATTTAATTGAACCACCACCAATTAATAATTTTTCTTTTTTCTTGGGAAAAGGTTTCTATCCCTGTAAAAGATTTTATGCGTGTTGTCATACTAGAAGATTAACTGACAAGAAGTCTGAATTTTGGGCTACTAGTACAGATAAAACCTATCCCATTAAAGAATATATATGTTGCAATACTGAATGAGTAGTGTATGTATTGGAGTGCACATGTAAATTACAGTATGTGGACAGGACAAAAAGACCATTGAAAGTCAGAATTAAGGAACACATACAAAATATTAAAAAAGGCTACATTAAGCATAGCATATCCAAACACTTTGCATTAGTGCATAATAAGGATCCATCTCACCTAAAATTCTGGGGGATTGAAAAGTATAAGAAACATTGGAGAGAAAGCCATAAAATCCGCACTCTTAGTCAATATGAGTCCAGGTGGATTCATACTTTAGACACTCTGACTCCTAGTGGTTTGAATGTTGTGTTTGATTTAAATTGTTTTATTAGTGATTTTAAATTTTTATTTATGTGAGTGACCTTCCATTTGGGATAGCTATTTATTTATTTTAGATGTAATCTAGATAATACCCTTATCATGAGTTGAGGTCTTTGGAGTCCACGGATGTCGGTCCATGATTTCATATTAATATTTTTATTAGATTTTTTTTATGATCATTATGTGGATTTGTTTAAGTTGTTATATTATCACCCATGTTTAATAAGTGTTATTATTATTGCTTATTTGTGCTTCAGATTCATGGCCTATTACAACGTTACCATTATGTATTTTATTATTATTATTATTATTAGGTTGAGGATGTCTAATGCTTATATTGGGAATAGTTATTAGTGCATCCTAGCATTTTAAACAAATGGTTGCTGGGGATCCTGTATTATTAGATTGAGTTCTCCTAGTATCAGTGTTTAGTGTTTAGCCACCATATCATCATTTTCTGAGACCAAGGGAAAATGGCCACCATAGGGTTTAATACTGCTTTAAATGGCCGCCGTTATATCACCATGTCCTGAGACCAGGGGAAACTGGCCACCATAGGGTTTCATTACAGGGACTTTGGCAAAATGGCCACTGATTGATTGGTTCTTTGTATACTATATAAGGATTCTCCCTCTGCCTTCTGCCATACCTCTGATGAAGTCACGTAGGTGTGACGTAATGTAGCCTTAGGCAGCCATGAACCACAAGTGATGCATGCGGAAGCGCAGCCTGGATTTGGTGATTCCAAACCATTATTTGTGGCGTTTTTACCTTTATATACATGTGAGTGTATTACCTGTTAATAAAGCTTACTTGTTAGTACATACTGCACCATCAGAGTGTCCTTTGTTTCCTCTGTATAAGGATAGGAATCTCTGACCTAAAATCACCTTTAAAGGGACCAGTCTTTTCTTTGGTTTGGTGATTTATTGAAAGGAAAGAGGGTGTCCAGCAATTCTGATATGGTTGATGACAGGGAGAGTGGAAGAACCTTTGCGTACTTGTTATTATAAAGTGCAACCTTACTTCTCTAAGGTGAGAGTTCTATGAGCACTGAGGTGACACAACCTGCATGTTTTACAGCACTTTTATCGATGGTGTTGGTTTTATGAGCACGTGAAGAAGCTTATAAAGTTGAGAAGAATTTACTGCCGAATCACTTTTTTTACATGGACTTGCTTTCATGGACACTTTAGTATTATGATTTGTGCATGTTATATATTTTCACTCTATTGTATTGATGATTTAGATTTGTATACTGTACACTAGCAGCGCAGCATTGAGTTTACGTATTTTATGTTTTTGTTGTGGGAACACAATTTCTAATGCTAGCAGCAGCTCTTCACTATAATATTTTATATTTTCTAATCACATTGAGGTAGTGCAGGAGTCTTCTTTTGTTTTGTAGGGCTTGTTAACACTCTTGCTTGTGTAAAAATATGCAGTTGAGACTCAGCTTTACCACCACCCATTAAGATGCAAATGCAGTACACATGCAAAAATGATACTCCCTGTCACGTTCGGCGGGCAGTGCCGCCACTGAACGTGACTCATTCCAGCAAATGGTGCCACGCTTCAACCATGTGCAGGGGAGCAGTAAACTCTGCTGCTAGTGTAAAACTAGCCAAATGCTGGACAGTTGTAGTTTACTGTAAGTGCTTTGTAGGATTGGTTTGCATAGAAAATTGAGTTTTTTAGTGAGTACTGTATATTTTTTGGTGTTTGTAAACTGTCTACTCTCAGTAGATTTTTTTTACCAATAATTCATAGAAAATAAACTTAGAATACAACCAGCAATATTTAGAAAGTAGGATCATGTACACCAGTCAATGAAGTGTCATAGGAAAAGAAATCCATCTTTGTTTTATTTGGATAGCACAAGGATTCAGATTGACAATCTATACCACAAGACTGCATATTGGCATATATGTATATTGTGGATTCTAATGGGCTATGAGTCACTGTCCAATCAACTCCTAATTGGGAAGGTTTGCCTGCTTAAGTGACATAGTGGGGTTTATTTACTAAAAGCTGGAGAGTCCAAAATCAGACTCCCTTCTGCATAGAAACCAATCAGCTTCCAGGTTTCATTGCCAAAGCTTCATTGAACAAGCTGAGGTTAGAAGCTGATTGGTTTCTATGCAGAAGGGAGTCTGATTTTGGACTCTCCAGCTTTAGTAAATAAACCCCAGTGGGTCACAGTTAAGAGATACTATAGGAGTAAACTGTATGCTTACTACATTTACATCTATGGACATATTGCTGCTCAGGCAGGAAATGATGCCATTAGACCAAGGGAGTAACCATTGGTAGAATGAGTTGAGGGAGTGAGCACCATAATCCCAGGATGTTACCACTTCTAGACCCAAGGAATGATGATCACTAAATCCAAGGACTGTTAGCATCTACTCTATGCCTATTCCAACCCCAACCAAAACCTATTGTACACTAAAAGGGGGGTTCCTTTTAAATGCATTCCATTAAAGGGAAGGCTCACAGATATGTAACACTGCTAAAACAAGCTAAAAGCTGTTTGTTATATTTATCTATAAAGCAAATTTAATAATGACAAAGCAAACAAAAGAAATGTTATAATTATCTATAAAGCAAATTCTGCACTGATAAAGGGAACCAAAGACATTTATGCGTTGATCTACTAGAGACTGGAGAGTGCCAAATCTGGTGCAGCTGTGCATAGAAATCAATCAGCTTCCAGATTTAAGGCTAGGTTTATGCTAGCCCACACTGTGCATTCTGGTAGCGGGTGTGGGAATCACATTGATTCCCGTACCCACAACCACCCGCAGCCGAATTGTGTTGCTCTTGCGAGATGTGTGGGGGCAGCTGTTCATTCTGAAACGTGGACACAGCATCCCATACAAATGAATGGGCTGCCGTGCCCTCACTAGTGTGAACCAGGCATTATTGTCAAAGCTTAACTAAAGAAGCTGATTGGCTACCATGCACAGCTGCACCAGATTTTGTATACTCTAGTTTTAGTAACTCAAGCATATTTATCTATAAAGCCTATCCTGCCCTCAGCTAATAATGGACTCTTCTACTCCTCCTACCAGTCCATCCACCACAGTTACTACCTTTTGTACCACTAGCCCCTCCCTCTTAGATTGTAAGCTCCAAGGAGCAGGGCCCTTCTAACCCTCTTGTATTGAACTGTATTGTTGCTGTATCGTCTCCCTTTATATTGTAAAGCGCCGAGCAAACTGTTGGCGCTAAATAAATCCTGTATAATAATATAAAGCAAATTCTAAATTACCTTTGAATAGTGTAATCATTCTGGTCAAAAGAAAAAACATTCAGACTGGTAGAACTCATTTTTTTGTACCTACCAAGTGAAGTATAAATGAAAACTGTAAATACATTTGATGTTTATGTCCCTGTATTCAATAGATGCATTAAGTTAGAATTTTCTTCTAGGTACAATGTTAATGGAACAAAACGTCTTGGACACTACAAGGCTGAAAAAAGCAGTAGATGGAATAGAAAGATGGAAGGAAATATAGGGAGGCGTGGTAGGCGTTCACACAGTTCTGGAGGGTCAGTCCGAGAGCACTACCTAAGACAGGTTTGTAGGCAGCAATAATTGTTACACTCTATATTTGATTTGGCCCTAAAACTTAACATTATATCAATTAATTGCAGTTGCCTAGTACCTATGCATGCAGTGAAGAAGCCTTGGGGGATTTCCAAGAGGATTCTCTTCCAGCGCCTATGACCACACGGCTACGTCGACAGAGTGAGAGAGAGCAGGAATTACGCCTCCTTCAAGCAAGACATACGCCCTCACCATCTCTGATGCCTCCAGATACTCAAACAGAGCCATCACTATGGACAGTTGAAGACGTATGGGCGTTCATACATTCTTTACCAGGTAATTGTGAGGTTCTACATCCTCGAATGAGACATACAGCATATTCTATGGACATAGTGGTAGAATCTACATGTGTCTTTAGACAGCTTTTCATGGTATTTCTTGACTGATGTATGTGGAGAGCCTTCTATTCTGCAGGTTAATTTGATTGCAAAACAAAAATTAACGTAGAACTCACTTTTTTCCAGTTCAGTAAAGTATCAGAGCTTGGTCATTGTCCTGTCTCTACCCTTCTGATTGAAGAAGGATAACCACACTAATAAGGTCATCATCACTTACTCTGCTCTTTAATCTTGATTGCCAGCAAATGTAAAATTTTAGGGTGACAGCATCTTAAAACACTTTAAAAAGATTAGCTTACAATGTTACCACTCCCTCACCCACTCCAAGTCTTCTTGTGCAAGAGATTACAGTAAGCTATTATAAAGACAGATCCATGCACTAATATTATCTGTATTTGAAATCCTAGTTGGTTATTTTTAATTTATATTTGATGGTATAAATTGTGTGTTTTTTTAGTATCTGCTTATAGTTAATCTTTAAATGTTGTCATTGAAATAAACCTGTTATAAAAGAAACACAGAGGTTGCCATTGCTGAACTTCATTACTGAAAAACGCTTGGTATTTGAGTCATTGACCCAGATAAGGACTTCTGATAATGCTGGAGTTAAAGCGGAACTTCTATCTCTCAGTCAACATTGTCTATTTTTAATCCTTATGGTGCTTGCATTAGTAAATAAATAGGAAGTTATATTATACTGTATTTATTTTATACTTTTTTTACATTTCTTCAGTTACTGCCTGGTTTCCATGCCTAGGCAAATGATATCATATATCTCAGGAATCTTCAGGAGGGGATGAGGGCCTTTCTCAGCTAAACACACCCTCCTGCCTGCATACCTAAGCTAAGGGGAGTTGGATTCCAGGATGTAAATGCTACATGAATCATATGCCCTTACGTAAGCTTGCCACAGCCAGAAATGCTAGGGGGTATTTTTCAAAGTGATTTTTCAGCAAAATAAAGCATGGAGACATGGATGAATGGGTGGGTTTGCTTCAAATTAAATTAAATTAAAAATGAATTAAATAGCATTTTTTTATGTTTGTGATGCTCAGATATGTAGTTCCACTTTAAGCTTTGGTGTTCTACTTGTGTGTGATTGTTGAAGGTATTGACGTACCATGAAGATTTTCACAGGAGGAAATGTGCACAGGAGGAAGAGTTGTTCTAAAATCTTGATTCAGTTGGGTTAACAAGTTATATGTAAATAGCACTTTGCAGAGTTCAGTTTCAGTTTTTGGTTGATGTCAGTAGGTTACTCATGGACTTCATATATTCCTCTTTGTCTCAGTCTCAGATGGCAAGCTGAAGTCCTAACGATGCCCATGGGAATTATAAACGGATGTCCCTTTCATATTGGATTTTTATATATGTTACAGAGAATGAAATGATAGGTAGAGGGGTAGAGCAAGACAGCCTGGCAGGGAGATTTCACCACTGAAGTCTTCAAAAAGAAGTCAGTGGTTGATTTAGCTCACCAGTGTCTATTGAGAACCAAATACTTCAGTCATTGGTGGCCTGACATTTTAATGGTTTATAGAAAGAAGCTGCGATTAGTTTCTCTTCTAACCCAGAGAAATGTAATAAGTAGTTAGTTCTCTAGTTCTGAGGATGGAATCTTCTACTTTCTATGAGTTCAGGTTGAAGGGGTTCCTCTCTGTCAGGGAAGGTAAAAAGTCCCATCAAAATGATAATAAACCCTCGATTTTTTTTTAAGCACTTTCAGCAGCTGATTTATTCGCTTACTGAGTATGCATCTTTATCTTTTAATCCTTGCCCTTATTCCAATTTAAGTGGGTGCCGTGGTCACTGCCCAGGGAATCAATTATAGGGCAGCTTCTTTCTCTTGCAGTGTCTTTTGGAGTGACCCTTGCATGCAGGGACTAGAGCTCTGTCTCACTACACTGTATGCATCGATAGAAACACACAGCAACATAGCCTAGGATGACAAGGCACTCCCTTGCACCTCTCTGGCCCCCCCCCCTTCTGTTCAAGCTAACAGATGGACTCTAGACTGCACTGTCTACTGTTAGTGAATTATTTCTTGTGAAGACTGGAAGTTCAGGAAAGCAGGATTGAGAGTTTAGGACCCAGCAGCACTGAAAGTTGCAAACTGCAAGTGCTGAGATAAGCATTTTAACAAATAGTTTACTATAGAATGTTTATTTTATTGTGCTCAACGTGTTAACCTAAAAAGCAATGAGAGTTTAATACTACTTTCAGACAAACTCATTGTATTGGTGGCATGCACTCTGTGGGAACAGTGCTGTGGTGCTTTTTTAATGTTTCACATGAACCCTGTGAATTGTTCCTGCATTACACTGTTCTGGGTGCTTACACGTCCAGGTATCTAGTGCCATGCTGCTTACAGTTTGTTACGCTCAAACACTTTTTTTGTCTCTCATGCCTGCAGCATCAATTAACCAGTGGTTTAATTACCTGCAAGGACTTGCTAGGATTACAGGGTCAATCCTCCTTGCTGCTGCTCAGCTCGGTCACAGATGGCCATATAACACCTGCTCTTGTGCATAGATGTCTGGATTTGGAGCAACCTTCTAAATTTTCTAAGGTTACCAGTCTGGAGTCTCATAAGAGTCATCACCTGTCAACAAACTAACGTTCCCAACCTTCTTTTTGCTGTGGGTACACAACACAACTAGTTTGTTGCCTTTCCCTTTGGTCTGTCCCCTGCACCTCAAGTATTTACCAAGGTTCTAGCCCCGAGGTTTGCTCCATTATGCTTACAATGTGATCCCATTGTGGGCTAACTGGATAACCTCTTGCTGAGAAAGCAGTTGGCTGTTACCATGTCAGAAAATGTCCACAGGACTGTTCAGACCCTTCAAAGGTTCAGTTGGATCCTGAACCTTTTTAAGTCAGTGCTGGACCCAACTCATCAATTGGAGTATCTGGGTCTTCTCTTCAATACTGCTCAGTCTGTAGTTCTTCTAGTTCTTCTTCCTCAAGACAAATGCCTGAATCTAGGCCCCATGCTTGGATTTTGCAGTCCACACGTGGCCAACTCTCCGCTCTGCATAAGTCATGAGTCCTATATGTCCAATTCCACTCCAGACCGTTGCAATATAACATTCTGACTGCATTATTATTATTATTATTACATCGAGTTTATATAGCGCCAAAGGGTTTGCTCAGCGCTGTACAATAGGGGGGACAATACATGGCACAGTACAACAAAGACAGACAGCGTACGAGGGGTAAGAGGGCCCTACTCTTTCAAGCTTACAATCTAGGAGGGAGGGGGTAGTGGAACAATAGGAAGTGGCTGAGGGGGATGAAGTGGTGGGAGGAATGAGGGAGAAAGGCCGTTAGGTGAGGGTGGGGTAGGCTTCCCTGAAAAGATGGGTTTTGAGGGAGCGCCTGAATGTGGGGAGGGAAGGCGACAGTCGGATGGATTGGGGCAGTGAGTTCCAGAGGATAGGGGAGGACCTGGAGAAGTCCTGCAGTCGTGCATGGGAGGAGGAGACCAGGGAGCAGGATAGAAGGAGGTCCTGTGAGGAGCGAAGGGTACGGGTAGGGTGGTACTTGGGGATCAGGTTGGTGAGGTAGTCAGGGGCAGTGTTATGAACGGCTTTGTAGGTCAGGATTAGAAGTTTAAATTTGATGCGTTGGACAATCGGGAGCCAGTGGAGGGAGAGGCAGAGGGGGGTGGCAGAGGTGGAGCGGGTGGTGAGGTGGATGAGTCTGGCCGCTGAGTTCAGGATGGTCTGGAGCGGGGAGAGCCTGCACTTGGGTAGGCCAGTGAGAAGAGAGTTGCAGTAGTCAAGGCGTGAGATGATGACTGCATAGGCAAGAGCAGTATCACCTCCTGATCAACATACTGAAACTACAAGTGAATTGAGTACCCTTCCATGCTGAACCTCACGACTGTAAGGTCATCCAATTTGAATTCAGTTGGAGGGTGCTACAGCTGATGTGTACATCAATCATCAGGGGGGTCCAAAAGTCTCAGCTCAATTTAAAGCCAACCAGATTCTGACTTGAGCAGAACTTCATGTTCCAGGCCTGTACACCATGCAAATTCTAGGCGTGGAAAATTGTTGAGTAGACTACTTCATTCCAAAGTTATTCTGTTCGTGAAAATGGTCTTTTCACCTGGAAATGTGTTGTGACTTCTGTCGCAGGTGGGGAACCCCCATGTGAACCTCCTGGCTTCCATATTCTCATGATTCCATGGGATCAGTTCAATCAGGAAAACTTGTGCCCCTAATGTGCCAGCACAAAACAAGGAGATATGAGCCTAGACTAAAGCCTAGTACATGCAATAAGAAATTTTAAAAAACGCTATCGGAGCAATCGTCTGATAATCTGGTTGTTAGTGTACAGCTTTCAAGAGCCGGTCACAACAGTTCATGTGAAAATATCCGAAGGAACAAGCACAAAAAATGTTCTCGTAAGATAACAAATGATTTTCATGTAATTAGAATAGTAAAAAAAAAACTGAGTAATACAAAATGGTGAAGTCAGCACTAACCATATGAATAGCTGCGTGCAATGGATTATATCCTTCAGAGTAAAAACAGAAAATAATTGCAGCGCTAAATCCATTAATTATGTGATTAATTATAATCCACCTTAAAAATTAGTGCACAATCATTATAAGTCCATAAAAGGTATATACAGTTGTGTTTATAATAATAGCAGTCAGACATCACTAACCTGAGCAGTCACTGTTTTTGGTAGAAATGATATTTCTACATGGCAAATAATTTACTAGCAGGTGTGGTAGAGTAATAGAAATCCAACAGACCCAACAGTCATGACATGCATGCTGCTGATTCTGTGTAATTGAATCACTAATTGAAAGGGGCATGTTCAAAATAATAGCAGTGTGGAGTTCTATTAGTGAGGTCATTCATTCTTTGAAAAACAGGTGGCAATTATTGCCCTTATTTAAGGAAGGAAGGCAGCAAATGTTGT